AAAGTGGGTGAAGGGAGACGTCGGACAGTGTAAGACATGACAAAATAATAGTAATTTATAAATTATCAAGGTTTCATGAAGTAGGGCAGGGTGGGAGGGAGGGGAAAAATGAGGAGCTGATACTAAGGGTTCAAGCAGAAATTAAATGTTTTGAGAATGATGAGGGCAACAAATGTACAAATATGCTTGACAAAATGGATGGATATATGGATTGTGATAAGAGTTGTATGAGCCCCCAATAAGATGATTTAAAAGAAGAAAATAAAAAGGAAGTCCAAACAAAAGCAAAACAATCACAAACAACCATCCATAGGGGCTGATGACGTGGTTTCAGGAGTTTGTCTCACCCTACACGATATATACGCTCCATTTTACGTTGTGGCGTTCAGGAGGGTGTTAATTAGTGGACTCATCAGATCAACATTCCTTTTCCTTTTTCAAACAATGCACACCAGCTCTTTTTGTTTTGTTTTCCAATAGTTGACTCATATTTGTTTTGATTCGTAGCCAGAAACCACCACTGAAAAGAGGCCTCAGTGGCTCTAGTTGAACTTCTTAAACCATGAAAGCTGAATGTGGAGTTGAGGTGAGGCTGCTGTACGATTCTTTCTGGTACCCCCAGTGGACCTTTGCAGGCAATTAAGTGGCCATTTGGACAAGCAGTTGGGAAGAGGTGACAAGAGAAAGGGATGTGTATTGACAGACTGGGCAGGTCCATTCACCAGGGCGGTCTCCGGCAGCCTTGCTCGCTGCGATGACGTAGATGTAGTGCAGCAGGTAAAGGGTGAATTGGGCAAATCCCAAGCCATGAGGTTGAGCATATGTTACCCAGTGTTTTCATCTGTCAAATGAGTACAGTAATACTCTATATCCCACGGAGCTATTGCAAACATTTTCAATGAAGCGATACAGCGTGCAGATAGCAAGCACTAATAAATTTCACTGCTGCTATTTTCTACACGGGACAAATGAAGTCCTGAGGGGTTACAGCCACTGTTCAAGGCCCCCAAACGATCTGGTGGGATCTGGTCATTGAACACTACTCTGTGTCATTGCGCATTTCATGGTCTTAACTGTGCACCACGGAATGGCTTGGCCTGGAGAGAGTGTGTGCTTTCTCTACGATGGTTCCATCCTCCATCATGTGTGCCTTCTGGCTTCACTCTCGTCCGTTGTCCCTTCTTCCTGTCTCTCTCACCGGGTTCTTTCCTTTTTCTTCTAAACACTGACTTCTTTTCCTCCCTAAAGCCATCTTTTCTTTCTCCTGCAATCCAACCAGAGGTAGTATTTTCCCCTTGCTTCAAGGACATGTTTACCCAAAACATTCTTAAAACACTTCCCGTCTAGGAGATGAGCCGGTCAGGGTGCGGTGCGATGTAACAATGATGAGAAATACAACTTTCCTCTAGTTCCTACATGTTTCCTCCCCGCTCCCACTACCATGACTCGAATTCGATCTAGCAAGTCTGGCTAGACCAGAGGAGGTACACTGGTACAGACAGGAACAGAAAATACAGGGAATCCAGGACGGATGAGCCCTACAGGACCAGTGGTGTGAGTGGCAAAACAGGGAGGGTAAAGGGAGAATGGGTAGGAAAGAGGGAACCGATTACATGGAACTGTGTGTGACCTTCTCCCCGGGGGACAGACAACCGAATAGTGGGTGAAGGGAGACGTCAGACAGGGCAAGATATGACAAAATACCCATTTATAAACTATCAAGGGCTGATGAGGGAGGGGGGAGCGGGAAGGGAGGGGAAAAATGAGGACCTAATGTCGGGGGTTTAAGTGGAGAGAAAATGTTTTGAGAATGATGTACAAATGCGCTTTCCACAATTGATGTGTGTATGGATTGGGATAACAGTTGTATGAGCCCCTAATAAAATGTTAAAAAAAACAACAACACTTCCCGTCTTTCAGGATCAGGAAGAAGGACCCGAGGGTCTTTCTGCTGCATCTTTCTGCATCTTTCAAATGAAAACAAAC